ACTTATCCGTCGCTAAACACTGTTTTTTTAGTAGTGGTAGCTACTAAGGCAACACTTGAAAAGTGTGTCCTAAAGTCAAAGGTTACGCTTCTTTAGGCCACCCCTGCAAAAGCGTTGTCTAAAGTCAACAAGTGTGGTCTTTGATCAAAGACCACACTTTTTGACAGTTTAGGGAACACTTTCTTAGTGTGGTTGAAAGGCAAAAATGTTGTAGTGGGACTATCAAACAAAATCACATGGATGATGACGTCAGAGTTAAGAAAACTTTCAACACATAACTAACTTATGCTAAGAATGTCTTGACAAATCCACACAAGGAGAAATAGTGTAAAATTAGAATCAGTAATGTTGCTTACCAAGATAGGGTTGGCAAACTGCGAGGTGGTATCAAATTTCTTGAACTATCTGGATTTGAAAGGATTGAAGGGGGTGCGTTCTTGTGTACTTACAAAGAGAAAAAGTGGACATCGATGTGCTTTATTGTTGTTGTTGTCGTTGTGGTTTTATGAATGAAATAATGTTGAAAAGATAATTAATTCAACTCATTGCGAGTACAAGAACTCACCCCCTTCAAGATTTTCAAATCCACATAGCTCAAGAAATTTGATATCTCCTAATTAGGATTTGTTGCGACATTCTTAGCATATGTTAATAGTGTGTCAAAAGTTGTAATGATACTCATGGTAATTTTCTTGATTTTGTGTGATTTTTCTATTTCCCCCCTTATTGTAGCTTATGTTCAATGTTTGTGGTGTGTTGGGAGGGCTGGCATGCTTCCAGAGGTGGTCGAGAGATATTTGAGTGAATTTTTCTCTTTTGGGAAGCTTTTGGGTTGAAAGAATTGACTTTGGTCAACATCCAAAAAATTTGGTACCATATGAGAGTTCTATCAATTTCGTCGGCTCCGAAAGGTCCATTTTTGACTAGTGGCATGATCGATTTTATATTGTCACGAGGCCTTCATCGTGAGTTTGAGTCGTTAGTCAAGAAATGTTGCAAAGATTGGCAAATGTTTGACTTCAAACAACATTCTTTGTAAACATTCTTGAATGAGAATTCTGTTAGTATGGTTAGCTTTAGAATATCGATTTTGGTTTATAACAACCTTTGGTTCAGATCCCAAGGTGATCGGGATATGTTTGTGACATTTTGCATTTTGTTGGTTTTTGGTTATTTTGTGCTAGTGTTGACTTGGGCCAACATTCTACCGAGACAATATTTGTTGGTTCTTTTGTGAATTTCGTTGAGTCCAAATTGTTGATTTTGATAGGGTAGCATAGTTTGTTTGCGTTCATGGGGTTCTGAATGAATCTCGAGGACCCGTTCGGAGACGTTTTCACCTTAGGTTTGGTTGATGCCAAAGATGCTGGTGTGAGTTCTTTAGTTGCGCCCAAGCCTATTAAGTAGTAGTTGTTTTAGCGGTGGAAGGCCACCTAGGTTTGATCGCTTAAGACGCATCAAAACCGCTTTAGAAGTAAGCGCTTAAGCGGCCCCGAACCACTTTAGCGGTAGGGGTCATCTAAGGCTTATCCAATTTAGCGGCCAATCAACTATTTATCCAGTGGTCGCTTAAACGACCACTTGACCGCTTTTGCAGCCATTGTTGGGATTATATCACTCTTTCTCTCCTTCATTCTTTCAAAAGAATCCATTGTTGAAGGAGCTCATTTCTTAGTGAGTGTGCTCGTACCTCGGCCGATCTCATCAATTTGAAGGTTAATTTCTTCTTTTTCACTTTCTAATCTTGATTGTAGCTTCATTTATGTAATTCTCTTTCATTTTGAACCTAATTTTCCTTGTTTTTAAATTCTTAAAGTTTAGTTTACGGACCTGTAATGACCCGTTAGTTCATTTTGAGAACTAGTCTTCTCTTTCATAAAAAAACCCTTTTCGTAAATTGTAAATGGGAATCTTGAACTATTCGTTTAACTATAGTTAAATAAATTGTCTGATAATTTTTAGATAATTAATTTAGTTTGTGACTAATGGGATAAGTCTATAATTTATTTAAGGGAAAAAGGTCTGAAATATATCTAAACTTTGATCGAAATTGCTGAAACAATTTCAAACTTTGGGCACGACCTATTACCCCATGCACTATTTAATAGTGTATTTTAAATATATATTAGTGTCTAGTTGGACAAGTTACTATTTAAAATGATGCAATATTTATGATGTTTACGTGGGCACTTATATATCTTTAAAATACACTATTAAATAGTACAGGGCTAATAGGTTCAGCCCAAAGTTTGGGATTGTTACAACAATTTCGTTCAATGTTCGGATATATTTCAAACACTTTTTTCTTTATTTAATACCTTATATCACTTGACCCATATTTATTAAAATAAGTTGATAGAATTTGTCACTTTTAATATATAATTAATTTAGAAACGAAAAGAAAGGAAAACATAAATATTTACTTGGAAAAAAAATTTACCTAGGCAAAGCGGCAGCCGACATGGGAACTGACTACTTCACATCCAAGTAAGAATTAACAACAACAACAACAATAATAATAAGAACAACAACAACAATAATAATAAGAACAACAACAACAACAACAACAATAATAAGAACAACAACAACAACAACAATAATAAAACAACAACAACAACAACACCAACAAGAACAAGAACAACAACACAACAACAACAAGAACAAGAACAAGAACAAGAACAACAACAACAACAATAGTAATAATAATCATGTCTTTTGTTTTTGTATGTGATAGGGAGTAATGGAACTTGGTGATTGGCTGACTTATTCATATTGAATGATCTTAATGAGGAAAAATAGTAATAAAAGGCAACTTGATTGTATATTGATGTGTGAAGTGTTGAGAATAATATAGAAGGTTTATTGATTCATTGGTGATGTTTTATCACGATTGTATTGTTGAAAATTGGGCATTGATATGGAATTGGTCATCTCCTCATTATTTGTGAACATGTCATTTGCATTGGTTGTAAAAAAATGTTATGTGAATTGAGGAAGAATAAGAAATTAAAGAGGATATATCACTTTGAGGGACGTGTCACATGCCGCGACGGATATTATGATTCGAGGGATGTGCCGCGCGCCGCGACGGATATTATGATTAGAGGGATGTGTCGCGCGCCACAACGTATATTATGATTCGAGGAACATGTCGTAAGTTGGAATAAATTCTATTATCGAGGGTCGTGTCACACCCCGCGACATATGTCCCCCCATGGGTCCCAAACTAAGATACATTGGGTGTATATCACTAAGTCAGACATGCACCTCCATACTTGGGATTGTATTTCACTGCATTGCATATTTATATCATAGTAAACTTATGATTGCTTTTTTTGGTGGTAATTGTGATTAATGAACTTAATTCATTGTATTGTTGATTTGTAATGGTTGGAGTGTTGTTATTGAGTTATGTGCTATTTAAATTGTGAGTTGTTAGTTTAGACTGGTTTTATGATGTTTGTAGTTGTGGAGGTTCAGTTGGAGTGATAGGAGTACCTGTATTCTATTTGCTTAACTTGTGCTTAAGAGTTCGCTTGTTGAGTACCGTGTGGTTTGGTGTGATAATAAAAATAACATCAAACAAATATTAAACATGAAACAATTAAAAAAGATAAGTAAGAAGACAAAATATACGCAAGTAAATGGGTGAAAATATTTTTATTTTATTTTAAAACTACCCCAAATAAATACACACAACAAAATATATAGAAAATAAAACACAAAAAAAACCTAAATTAAATTGCCCCTTTTTGGATTAGCGCTTGGCTTATTCGGTGTGTCAAGACAAATCAAAGTTTTGTCATTTTTCTGCTCGAGTCAATTTTCATTATCTCCAGTAAAGGGCCTATCTACCCCTACCCCACCTTTCGCATGCATAATGTCCTAGAAGGTGTCTAACGCCCCCACTTAATGTCCAAGAGGCATTGGACTTCTATTAGGGTGGATTTAGACTAAAATAAAAAATAAATTTTTTAATTAGACCCACCTAAACGTCAAGCAAAACATATTGGACGACCATTTAACACATAAATCTTAAATTGGCCTCTAAGTTTTAATTAACATGCTTTCAAGCTCAAGTAAAAATGAAAGGTCTCATGTTAAGTGTGTGAGCATACAAATACATTAACAAGTATTAAAATAATATTAAAACAGATAGAATATTATAAGGGCCAAAGACTGATTTAATTAATAATTAATCTAAAATAGGGCAGTTTCAAATAGCATGCAAACAGTGATTTATTAGTTGATTTTAAGTAGCAAAACATTATTCAGAATGCAGAATTTATTTATTGGCAGAATTTAATCAGGACATCAAGTATTTAAAGCAGTCATAATACATGCATAATATTAAAAGCAGAGCTCAACTTAATTTGACAA